ACTGCATTAATTGCTTTGTCCTTGTTTACATCCGAAGCCCCAACTTTTGAAGTATAAAGTAATACCAAGAGAGTTCCAATTATTATAAATAATGCATATACTAATGATCTTTGAAAGCGGGACAGACGATTCCATCTCTGTAATATATTATGTTAAATTATATTTATGAGCCTAAGTACTTAGCAAAACATATTAGCTATTTGGCTACTGTTTAAAAAACCTACATATTTATACAGCTATAGGAGTTAGGTGTTACTGCAAATAAGTATGTAATTCTATAAATAATCAAAGTGAATTGTGAATTACTATAGATTACAATTACAGAAAAGTGATAACTTCTTTAGAATTAGCTTCTAAAGCTGTAAGCAATCAACACTACATCTGATGTGGTAGCAATATTTGAACTGTACAACTTAAATGGAACATCAATCTGAACTACGAATGGAAATGAGTAACACTTTTACTACTCATTTACATTGGTGTGCTAAATGATAAGAATCAGAAATAAAATTGGACAAACAGAAATACAAAAAAGATCAAACCCAGCAAAAAGAAACTTTTGAGATACTGAAACTTGCACTTTGCATTGATATTCAATAATAATGTTGTGCTACATTTAACTAAAGCAAAGTGACACAAGCTGTAAGTTGCACTAGAATTGATAGCCCTAGAAGAATTTTTCAGTTTTGATGAACTTTGAATAAGTTCACAACAATTTTTTTAGATATTAAAAAACATTCTTACCCTTATAATTTTTCTATGTGATGTGGATGGATCAGTAAAGTCTAGGCTGCTCCATTTGTCGAGGCTGTTATGTGGAGTTGTTGTAAGAAGACCTTCTTCAAAATCTATTTGTGTATCTACAGGCAACCCTTTCATTTTGAATACTTTCAATGTTTTTTTGATAATGGGTACAAAAGTATTGCGATACTACATCTGTAAATAAAAACTACATTTACTATTATCATCTTTCACCCACGGGGAATGGCTCTTTCATAGTAGCGAGGGTTTTGCTATAATTGCCATAGTTTAGCAAACACAGTACCAGCTTTCAGCCCGTGTATGGTGAATCTGATGAAATGATGGTTATTTAGTCATATATATGTTGCCTCAGATCTTCTTGCCTTTAAATAAGATTGAAGGTATCCTTGAATGCAGTTTGATAGACCTAAATACCAATTTTTTTTTGCAAAAATATTGCATGCAACTCTAACAGCAAATCAAACCTAAAGCAGCAACTAAATTGGTATTGTGACATTGACCACTGATTTGATAACTAGATTTATAATATGACTGTTGTTACTGTTTATATCCAGATTGTGGAAAATTTATTTAAGATATGAATTTACAGGCTTACTTTATAGTGGCTTAGCACAATTATATCAAGAAAATGAATTATCTAATATTATAAATGTAAAGGCCTGTGTTCAGCAGTGGACTTGCGATGGGCTGTAATGATGATGATACATTTAAAAAAAATTAAATATGTCCACGAAAAATGGGAATTTAAAATAATTAATATGTTATTTGTAACACTATTCAATTTTCAGATGTAAATGTATAATAGGAATATTATTTTCGCCCTTCGTAGTTATAAAATTGATTTTATGCTCACTTGATGTTATCAATGTGGTCTCATTCACGTAATGATTTATAAACTCTTGTACCTACTATGTAGGTATCTAAAAAGCATTTGAATTCGGTTTTCGTAATTTGTCCAATTAGATTTAGGTGTTTCCTACCTTGGCCGACTTATTGTTCCACGTCTACAAGTTTAAAGCGCATGGTGTATGAATAATTTAATATTAATTCGTTAAAAACCACAAGTACTAGAAATAAATAATTTTGCAACAAAAATTAAAAATGAATCATCTATTAATTTTATTTTGAAATTGAACAAAAATGTATGTCAAATCTTTAGATATGTACCTTATGTTTATTTATATTTAATTTTATGGAAAACTAGGTAATTATGAGTATGAGATGAGATTTGAAATTTTTAACCTAATACTTTTACTATTAACATTAGCGAATAGCGATGTTGTCCACCCGAACCCGAGCAGTGTTGTTATCGTAAAAATCTGCCGTTTTTTTAGTAAGAATATTGGCTTGGATGCTTGTTTTTCAAGCCAAGTCTTCGGGATCTTCGTTTTTACAGAGTTTCGGTATCAAGTAATAATAATCTTCTATAGTACACTGCTTCACAATATGTAAAAGCGTCACATTACGTGATATTTGAGAGATTATGATGGTAACTTGAGCCAGCAGACAATTGGCGATAGTATCGCAAGGCGCCTAAGCAGACAGACACCTTATCTTGAGATTAACATCACCATCGGAGCACTTGTTTCACCATTTGCACTAATAGTTAACATATGCACACATTTAATAAACAAAGTCGCACCATTTTTACATGCTAAAATCCACTTCAAACCTTCATATTAAACAATTATATAGGAGCAGCAATCCGCCCGACAAAACTCAAAAATCACATAAATCACAGTTTAGTTTGCCGTATTTGATAGGGAAAAAATTTAAATTGCAGTATTTCATTATTTATTTTAAAAATATCTATTCCTTATTTGTTTTTCCTCCATAAAGATTTCTGTATTTGTGTTGGTTATTTGTAAAATGTCGTCGCAAAGTTGAAAGTTCACACGATAATTTAACCCTGGCACACGGTGTACTTTTTTCTAAATCTATCATTAATCACAGCTCTGCAGACGCAATCCGGTTTTTAAATAAACACCTCACTCTCTTTTTTCAATAAGTACTTGCTTGTTTTACATGTTTCCCCTTTTTTGTCTTTTTGGTGAAGTAACGCCTTCAGAGTCATATTAACTTATATTATCGATTATTAATAACAATAAAACACAGAATATAGAATTATTTCACTCGTAACTGAAACGTATTTTAATTAGTTAAATTACGAATGAGCGCTAGGTAGTACTCGACTCGATACTGAAACAATTATAATTTACGAGTAGGTATGTTACTAGAAGTACATCGTCTCATGTACAACCTTTTTATTCATTTTTACACAAGAGAAAAAAAGAGATAGATGTACAGCTGTTGACCATGTGAAAAACCACGTATTAAAATCGTTGTTTCTTTAAACTTTAATAACTTAATATTAAATGAAGATATCGCAATAATTTCTTTTAGATAAGGGCTAAGTGTTTCAAAAATAAAACTTAGAAAACCTAATTGAAATCTATCCAGTAGTTTTTCCGTGATGCGCACACAAATGCAAACCTGCAAACCTCTATCATTTTATTTATATATATATATATATATATATATATATATATATATATATATATATATATATATATATATATATATATATATATAGATAAGTTTTTACGCAGTCTAATCAGTATTTTAAAATACTCGTAATGTACCTACCTACTATTCGGTACGCTACAAAGCTACAAAGTATAGTCTACCTTTTGTTTAATACATGATGTTAAAGAGTATATAATTACTACCTTAGATTAATAATAAGTCATCTTGATGATGAGATGACTTATAATTAATCTAAGATTACTACGTTTTACTTATTACGTTATAATTTATACCTATTACCATTGGAACGAATTGTATACACTAATTGGTTACAAAATAGTCAATATGCTTTATACACTTAAGCGCTATATAATAGGTCTTTACTTATGAAATTGCCATTCTGCAGTACTGGTCACTTCAGATAAAATAATTTTTGTTTGGCTAAGGATTGAAATTTTAAACTAATTTTATTTTAAAAACATGGAATACTTTTCTCAAAATTAGTAGCTTAGCGTTATGTTTTCATCGATTTTGAATCCTTTTCGTCATGGTTAAAAATTCGAGTAATTATGGAGTATGAGTACTGTTGTGGCAGCAACGCGGCACAAACGGCACGCAATATCAACGAGGTTTACGGAGCGAATACTACAAACAGACGCACCACCTGTTATTGGTTTGCTCGTTTCTGTTCTGGAAATTACGACCTGAAAAATTAACCCCATGGTCGTCTGAAAACTTTGGTCGACAATGTAGAATTAAAGGCGATTGTAGGAGCTGATCATACTAACAACCTACGGCTGAATTAGCAGCAGCTTTTGACGTTAGCACCAAAAAATCGAGTATCGTAAAAAAGCTTGGGTGGCACGCGAACACAATGATTGCCAGCGCGAAGTAAGCATCGAAACGTGTCTTGCACTGTCCAACAGGCACACAAATGAAGGAATTTTGAACCGCACGACAATCGCAAGCGCTCAGCAACTTGGTTGGATCCTGGTTCAGCACGTAAACAATGCTCTAAACGAAAACTTATTCTAAAAAAGTGATGGTCACTATTTGGTGGTCCAGCGCCGGTGTGATACATCACAGCTTCTTCCCATTGATTATGAGATGGGGATTACTGCAGAAGTGTACTGTGAAGAACTGAACACGATGATGGAGAAGGTTGCACGGCAATTGTCACCAACCAGCTTTGGTAACTACACGTTGCACGACAACGTGTGACCTCATAAGTACTGCACAACAGATGGTCTGCAAGTTACAAGAGCTGGTGTTACTTTTGGGATAACTTTCGGCGGGGGAAAATTGAAATACCCGAGAGGCAGTACAAAATGCCTTTAAAGAATTTTTTGCCTCCCGTCCAGCTGATTTCTTCATAAAGGGCATCAATAAACTGCCACTGCGTTGGCAAAGATGCATCGATTGTATGGGTGATTACTTTGATTAAAGAAAATAAAGAATATTGAAAAAAAATGCGTTAATTTATATAATAAAAAACGGCTATTTCATATTTAATGACCTAATATATAAACTCCGACATAAATGTACTACAAATATTTATTTACCTACTCTGTTTGTTACTGGCCACCAGCCTTAAAAAGTTTAAGAAAGATTTTTGTGTCATTAAAAAATATATTTTTATTTGTAAATCCAGTTTAAAGTGGTTGCTTTTTAATTTTTAATTTATAGCTTCAGTACGTTCTGAATACTATTTAATGCCTCAGTCAGACTATTGGCCATTTCATAAGGATAAGTCGGAAGGCCAACTTGATGGAGAGTCTTTATTAGTATGTATATATAGATCATAGACATAAGATTTTACCCTGTCATTAACTTAGATACAATCAAATATGGTATTGCAAATTTATTTAATCATTTCTCTGTAAGTTTCAGTGTAATAGAAAAAAAATATAATCATGTTTGGTAGCTGCATGTGAAACTCATGAGCCCTTCTCACGTGTGCAGTGTCTGATTTAGAGTTCCGATAGCCCTAGGCTAACTATAAATATGCCTCCCCCCACACCGGATTGTTCTGCCTGTGCATGTCTAGCCCACGAATATATTTACTATATTTTTGTATTTGCTTTTTTAAAAGGAGTAAGTCGTATCGGTCCGGGAAAATCGCCGCTGATAAATAATTCCACAAAATATTCTTGCGAGGAAGAAAACTCCTAGTAAATAGCACAGTCATGGTAGACCTCCAAGTTTCCAAAAGTCCCGAAGTGCGGTGGTGAAATTTGGCGGCTGGAATTAATCTGAATTCTTCGCAGCACCAGTGAATCGAGCCGATCAGAAAGTACTCAATCCAAAAGGAGCTGGCACTTGGGCGCCCCGGTCCAGAGATGAGAAAAGTGCTTCATGTGAGGGAAAACGTGTGCCTTGTAAAGTTGCAGTCGGTGTGCCGGCATGGAATACTATACCGCTCTGCTGATCACGTCAAGCTTTTGAGAGGCTAATTTGGCCGTTCCTTCAAGTGACCGCAGAACTGTTCGTCATTTGATATTGTCGATGCCGAAGAGTCCAATGCTGGTTAAGGCAGCATGGGGAGTGCCCTGAAATTGAGGAGATACGACAAAGAGGTTCTTTGTTTTTTAAGCGATAAACGAGCAAGCCTGTGTCTTCTGAAGTTTAAACTGGACCGGAGTAGTCCCCAATCCAAGATTATGTTTATTAAAGACATGACTTCACCAACAAGTTTGTTCCGATACTCGAGAAATATTCACACGGTCGGTGTAAGAAGCATCACTAGTGTTACAATCAGTAACATCAACATATAATTGATACACAGAAGAAAGAGCGTAGCTAGTCGAAGTATGAACTGTCTACTACGACCTTGATACTCCAATCGGCAATAAAACTGATGATCCTATTGCACCATTTTTCGGGAAGCCCATAGGGAGGAAGCTTCGAAAGAAGCGCTTTGTGTAAAAGCCCATTTGAAGGCTTTCGCCATCTCCAAAGTAACGACCAAGGCCTCCCTCATGGACTCTACTGCTTTTGCTCATCTATGGGTCAGGTAAATTAGAAGATTAGAACTAGAACCAGCTGATTAGTGATCGCCAATGTGCCTTCCTCAAGGTAACTTATGAGATGGCAGTTTATAATGGATTACATTATTGTGGATAATAATGTGGCGATGGTGATAACTCTGTAGTTGGACGGGTCTGAGCGGTTGCCTTTTTAGGGATCGGGTGCACTAAATATGTTTTCCATAAGTTCAGAATCACGCCTCTTGAGTAGGATTACCGCAAAAGACGCGTTAGAACCGGTGCTAGCCCCGAAGCACCCGTCTTCAGCACAATAGGAGACGCACTCGACTTATTGACGTCCAGGAAGAGGAGTGCTTTGCACACTGAGAGCTGTGTAAAACGCACGTCCAGAATGGAGCAAACATACCGCGGGATGGTTGGCGGTGTGTAATCTCCGGTCGAGTTGAACTCAAAAGTAGAATCTAAAAGATCGATTTCCTCTTTTGTGGCATGGGCCAGTGAGTCGTTCTCCCCGTGCAGAGACTGAACAGATGGCTTGACACAAGTTACCTTGGACCACTACCGTTACCGTTAAAGCCTATTAAAGTTCACAGCTGTAAATGGTCCTCTCTCATAGCTTGTCTCATAGGGGGATATTTGTTATAGTTCTTACGCTGGCAATCGGGTCGGCAGCTGCAGTTATTAATTTTTAGTCGTTATTAGGAAGACGCTGCTGCCCATCTCCTGATTTGATTCCCTCTGTCGCCTCTTACGACACCTAAAGGATGATATGGGGTAGTGGATATTCTTACACCGCCACTAGACGGTAATTCCCTTGACAGCTTTGGCAAAACACCTTAATAAAATTAGTGGTTGAGAAGAGACCTAGAGCAATTTCAAATCTTTGAATTACGCCCAGTCATTTAATGAAAGACGAAAGGTACCAAATAATTCAGTCTTATTTTTACAATCTATTTATTTATTTTGTACCAAATATAAGGAAAGAGCAACCAGTAAAATACTTGTGGTACTCTATTGTTTATTGAGACTATTATATCAAATTTTATTATGTACATATGTAAGTGGTGCTTGCAAAGGCGGTAGAGAGTATAAAATCAGTACGTTTTATTGCCCTCCGCGGAAGCAGACTTCACTGTGCTATATTATTTTAATTCGCCATCGGGTTGACAGTCTAAGAGCTAGAATGTTCATTGACGGGTTTATTGCACCTAAAATTATTTAGTCAGCAACTGTGGAAGCGCAGTATCAACGCTCTTGAGTAACAAATCATAGCTTGATGATGATTGATTGATGATTTCGATACTTCGACTTGCTGCCAGTCCAGTCGCTATCTGCCTCGCATGGTACTGGGCGAATTTTCGTTCTGTGGTACTAACCTGAAATTTATTACAGCGGGCAGGAAATCAAACTCTCTGCACCTCCGGCTTTCAAAATGATTAAGGTACCCTAAGGGAACTACACCTAAAAATAACAAAAATACTTTATACCCTTTTGAGTGGACTAAATATTATTAACAAAATCTCATTGCCGCCCAAATTTTGTAAAGTTACATCTATTCTAACTTCATATATTTGCCACACTTGGGTGTGGAATTTTTTTCTCCAAATTTATGACCGTAATTAAGTATAAAAATTGTAACTAGTGCTGAAGCATAATCTATTTAATAAATAATTAAAAATTAAAAATTTTGTACAACCGACTTCAATATAAGTTATTAAGAATAACTCAAATAACTCAAAAACTATTGGTCTGACCTTGATCAAATTCATATCGGACCACACGAGAAGTATCAACTTTCATATAAAACAAGAATCATCGAAATCGGTCCACCCAGTAAAAAGTTATGAGGTAACACACATAAAAAAAACATACGCGTCGAATTGAGTACCGTCTCCTTTTTGGAAGTCGGCGGAAAAAGAATCATGAAAATCGATTCTCAATTGGCAAAGATATCGCGTAACATAAATGCAAAAAAGCATGCAGTCGAATTGTGAAGTCTTTTTTGAAGTCGCCTAAAATTTGGCGTTGAACTAAATATAATACTAAATCCTCAATAATAATATAAATGAAGAAAGTAACTCTTATCTATTTGTAACCTTCTAACGATTGTACAACTGAATCGATCGTAATAATATTTGACAAAGAGGTAATCTATGACTCTAAGGACTAAAACAAGCTATCCATGAATATTTTTATGAAAAATTATTGACAAATTCCTGTTAACAGCAAATTGTACACAACAGAAAAACTATCATTGACAATGATAAACATCAATCTTTATATTTTTTTTAACTTCAATCCCATTTTCACGTTCTAATGTGAAATGGTGTCTTTGTTGGTTTTGCTTTGTTGAGTCAGTGTGCTTCGTTTGCATCAACTTTAGGTGAGATTAGAGTTAGAGTTTAGAGTATAAAAAAAACTTTAGTACCAATCGACATGCTAACGTACTGTTTTCTGAACGACGTTAGAAGATAGCCAATGGCCTCTTTTAACTTTACAAGTATTTTTTAGATAAAGGAGGCTTAAAAGCTTGTAAATATCTTAAAGCAGATGGTAAGAGATCAGATATCATGACTTTAGTGTCTTTGGGGGTAGATAAGATAAGATATTCGTAAGTAAAATTTTTTATTTCACTATAAGTAAAACGTTGATACGATTCAGGTTACGAGGTGGAAGGGTTTAGTGCACTACCATAATATTTTCTTTTTGCAATATCTATTGTAACTTTTCTCTTTTAACTTGCAGCAAAAGCAGTTGGGGGCAATGGAAGGTGAGGTCAAGGAAATCCAAATGGAACTGGCAGCGATTAAACGGGATCGATTAGATTTGCATAATCAAAAACGTCCGTCTATCTATGGAGTAAATTTTAGTTTTGAATTATTTTCCTTAAATTGGTATTTCTTTCTTACTTAGATTTCTAAAAAGGTAGAGGACTCTTAAGATACTTAGCTTGGCTACTAAGTCTAGATTTACAGTTTATTGTAAGTAATCAGTGGGTAGAGGCAAAGATTATAGTTATAACGTAACGATACTTTTTGATTACAGTAATGTTTTGCCGAGTCACCCATTTGTATTCGAGTATGAGTTCTCGTTATAAAAGGAATCGAATCAGAATTCGAATCACTGACTCGAGTATAATGTTCGAGTACTAGGTCTGGTATTTGAACTGCACTGAAGTCGAGTATCCTAATGTTTTTTAATAAAGTTAGGCCCACACTAGGATTTTCTCCTGCATCGTAAAAGCAGTTTATATACATAAATTGCACAATGACAAACATCCGAATCCGGAACAATGATACGTATGTAGTTTATACTTGTTCCGTGCGGAATTCTCACATACGGCCGTCAGAGCTGTAACTAATTACTAGGCCACTGCCTTAAATACAAATTTATTATATTGATGACACATGAAAACGTGGTTTAGTGATACCTGGCTATATTATGGTTGTAGCAACGTTATTACATAGGCTCTCCCAGATCGACGTCCAGCCGGAATCGGGTGATAGGTCAAGTCATAATAGTTAACAGAAAAATATAAAAAATATTTGCTATGTATTTTACAATTTACAGGCATTTATAACAAAAATCAAGAAAATCTACATCCTATGACAGTCTTTTAACTGCTAATGTAACAATTTTTTAAAAATTTGCTTTTGATTATGTAATCCAGAATAATGCTTCTGAAAACTGTTGCTTAAAACTTACAGCCAACTGCTCCAGCCCAACTCCAAATGTAATGATTCAAATCAGAGTAACAGGCTGGCTACGAGATTGTACCAGACCGCCCGCCCTTTCCATTCCAGAGGAAAGTCTTGGGGTACACAAAAACACCTATTATACCAATTCCGGCTTGACGTTGATTTTTGGAACAACCTGTATGTAGTAACATTATTATAACCTGTATGTAGTTCAATTGGTGTGTTAAAAACGAGTGTTTAGGTAGTGACCACCTAAAGATTATGATTTCAACATATGTTAATCATTATCCTGTTGCTCACAAAAGTCACAACTTAAAAAGCTGACTGGGTGAAGTATTGTCGAGTAATAGATGAGGAGTACACTCATTTTGAAATTGCGAGTAACCCACAAGAAGCCTATGATGATTTTGTCAAATTGTTGTTTAAAGTAGCAAACGCCTGGTTATGTTAATAACTATTGTTCAAATTATAGCTTCATAATATACGTGGTTATTTTTCATAGAGTATCCAAATTTTATATTTAAATTCAAATATAATATAAATAATGATATACCATTATAGCAGTTTTTGAAAATACGAGTAAATAAGGCTTCTACTTTTGTTTGAAACTGTCCTAAATTGAAAGTGATTTATTAGCAATAACTACGCGCCCACACAGAGGGGCGCGTAGTTATTGCTAATAAATCACTTTCATACGATTCAATTCACAACGTTTTTGCCAACCGAGCGACCCTTACAAGTGTGTTCGTGTTCAATGAAATAGTAAGCGTTAGATATTTATGAATTACAATCAGTTAAAATAATGCAACCACGCATTCATTTAGAAGAAACAAGAAAAGATAAAAATGACAATGTTTGAGATTTTTTTTAATTAACTTTTTTTCACCATTCGCCTATTTTACTCATTCTGAACCATCTCTGCAAATTTGGGCGTATATTGCAAAATAACCCTGAATAATATATAATAACATAATTATAACATAATACATAATATATAATACATTTCTATAATAATTAGAGTTATGTTTTTAACAGGAATCACAAGACGTACCCGACGACACAGTCTATATTACTAAGATTCATGAAGATGAATTTGGCAAGTTCCCCGAGGTATAATAGTATTTGCATTTATTTCCAGTTCAAAAATGTTTTGCAATATCAACATTTATTTAAAATGTTTTAACTAGATAGGCCATTTTGGTTTCATGTGCATTTTCCACAGTTAAATGGAACTGAACCTAAAATATTTTAATATAAGTTACAACCACATTAAAGATTCTTTTCTGTAAAAAATTAACAATAATTTAGCTCTTTTAGACTTAGACATAGCAAAATTTTCGGTTATGTTGCCGTAAGAATTTTGGTAGTCGATCTTTACTGCATGTACCGATTTTTGTGTTTATTGAATTGACGATTGAAATAATATTAACGGTACTGAGAGATCAGTGACAACAGGAATACCGTTATCGTTACAGCCTATTAAAGTCCATTGGTGAGCATAAGCTTCCCCCATAGATTACCTCATCGGTGGGATAATGGCCATAGTTTAATTTTTAATCGTTTTTAGGTAGACGCTGCCGCCCATCTCCTAATTTGTCTCCCTTTGTCGCATCTTACAACACCCACGGGATGATATGGGGTATTGGATATTCTTACACCGCCACTGCACATTAATATTAAAAAAAATTCTGTGTTAATTTTTTTTAATAATAAGACAAAAAGATAATTTTAGTGACGTGAAGTGTTGCGGTTTATCCAAACATTTTCTTTTTGTAGCCTCGTGTTTGCATTCATTCTATCTAGTTATAGGCTATTGTTTGCGTTCATCAGATTCTGGTGTTTGCTCAGGCTCACCACACTCATTTAAACTATACTTCATCTCTCCTCACAGGCCCTTCTATTGTCACTCGAACTATAAAAAGAAACGCATGCGTTTTGTTTATGAGTGCTAACAGTTTGCACTGCAAAATCTTGTTAGGCATCGAAATAATAATCTTAATTACTATCACCGATATATTTTAATATTATAGGTGGTTGAAATGCTTCATAAATACACAACGAAACTGTACTGTACAGAAAACAGATTTGATAGATCAACATCCACTTACCACCAGGTGGACTGTGTATTCGTTGTATATTTAGTATAATATATTATTTCGGTTGTTTGTCTGGTCGTAATATTAGTGGTAAAATTGCTAGCTTATAAGCTGCCAAAATATTATATAGAGGTAGACATCTTAGTCAAATTTTACAACGTCGACGGAGACGTGAATGATCATTAAAGTTCTCATCACCTAATTCCAAAATAATACATTATGTTTCACTATTTCCATTGTCTTAAATTAAGCTTTGCAAGTAATATATAAGAAATACTTTAGACTGCTAAATTACGCGAAGAGTTGATTCGAGCGAAAAATGTTGCTGACGAGGAAAGGTTCCAGAGACAGAAATACGAAATGAAACTCAAAGATTTAGAACTAAAACTTAACAGTATATGTACTACTGCGCTAACGTCTGGAAAAAAGGTATGATTATAACATTTTTTCTTTTCTTAGTATATTTGTGTTTATTGTACTGTATAGATGGCTAATTGTCAGCGTAAATGTCATATTAGGTAAGTACAACTACAATCAAGGTGTTAACGAACGAATGCAAATCGGTGGGACTGCGTTCCATTAACAGAAACAACTTTTAGAGGCTGATATCCCTCAGAACCTTAAGACAGAAGCGCACAACTATTGGCCGTTGCTAGTTATGAATAACGGAACTGAATCGTGGTCCTTAACTGCTGACCGTATAAGGAAGCTTAAAGTCATTCAGCGTGTGATAGAAAGGGCTATGCTCGTAATAAAATTCGTAAAGCGAATATCTGCAAAATAACAACAGTAACTGACATAGCTTAGCGGTTCAGTAAGCTAAAATGGTAAAGGGTCTGCCATACAGCTCGAAGAAACGACGACAGACGTGGAGGAAAGGTTCTCGAGTGGCATCCTCCTACTGGCAAGCGCAGTGTTAGGCGACTCAACATTGGATGAAGCGACGACCTGATGTAACACGTAAGGGTAGTCCATGCATACGTGAGACGAAGGACTTCAACGAAAGGCTTTAGGAAATTTTCTCAAAATTGATGAGAGAATGTGTACTTTCATGCATCTCAGTCGAAACTTCAATTGTTCCAAATGCGTTCAATTAATCTTTCCAAATGCGTTATTAGTATTTTTTTATGACCGCAACTTCGTTTGCATACAATAATTTTTAGTAATTTATTATTATACTTCCCTGTTTCAATCGGATTTTGTTCACAATTTCATAGGTTTTTTCTTTGCGCGTTAATTTCATAGGTTTCTTTTTCAAAGTCAAATACTACCATAAATATTACTTACTCTTTATAATATCAGCTATCTGCCAGGGAAAGTACCGTTAAAATCGGTCCAGGATTTTCGGAGATTAGCCGGCACAAATAAACAGACAGACAGATAAAACTTTTAAAAAGTGTTATTTTGTTGTACCGTATATACTTTTTTTTATAGAAGAGAGGGCAAACGAACTTGCTGCTCATCTGATGGTAAGTGACTACCGCCGCCCATTAACAACTGCAACACCAGGGTAATTGCAGATGCATTGCCGGTCTTTTAAAAAGGAGTAGGCTCTTTTCTTGAAGGTCCCTAAGTCGTATCGGTTCAGAAAATCACTGGTGGTAATCGATTCCACAAGGAGGCTGTGCGAAGAAGAAAACTTCTTCAAAATCGCACAGTGGTGGACCACCAATCATCCAGATGGTATGGATGGTATCGCGAGTTTTGTCGCGATGTGCGATGGTGAAATTGAGCGGCTGGAATTAGTCCGAACAATTCCTCAGAGCACTCCCCGTGATAGATGCGATAAAATACGCAAAGAGATGCAAAATCGTCTATGACTGAGCAACATCAACTCAGTCATAGACGATTTGAACTGCTCTGCGCTGGATGCAGTCGAGTGGAAGGAGTTGGCACTGGGGAGCCCCTGCCCAGAGATGGGAACAGTATTCCATGTGAGGCCAAACCTACGCCTTGTAAAGTTGCAAGTGGTGTGCTGGCATAAAATACTGTCCCGCTCTGCTGAGCACGCCAAGCTTATTAGAGGCCAATTTGGTCTTCTCTTCCAAGTGACCACGAAACTGCACGTCACTCGATATGTCGTCTGGCTGAGGCAACAAGCCTTGAAACTGAGGACATACGACAAAGGGGTTCTTTTTACATCCCGGGATATTGATGCGTCGGTCCAGGCCCGGTACCACTCCTGCTTATAGCGTGATGCAATTTTACAGGAGCGACCAAAATAGTTCTGAGTTCTGCCTCCGATAGGCACCACAGGTGATGGAATAAATAATTCCATTCCCTGAAGTACCACATCAGCGACAGAATCAGCTACAACATTGGGATCATCCGGCGAGAAGCAAACCTGCCCCCAAGAGTAGGGTGCAAAAAAAGACCGCATCCCGTCCCAAATCCCTATCGGCCGACCTATAGTGCCAAACACGGTGGCAAGCTGCAGTTCGCAACTGCGATGGGAGCGTGAGTGGCACCGTACTCTGGATCAGACAATGGTCCGAAGAGCCAAGAGGGGCATCGACGGAGACCTGATATCCGTCCGGATGACAGGTCAGCAGAAGGTCCAACAGGGAAGGTACATGATCCTCCACATCTGGGATCCGCGTATGTGAAGTAACCTGTTGTGTCAGACCATATCCCAAGGCAAAGTCATAAACAGATATACCTGCAAGATCGGTTAAACGGGAACCAAGCCATTCAGCGTGATGGGCGTTAAAATCACCGAGCATCACGATCTCTGCGGATGGTACCTGTTGTAGCACGGAGTCTGCAGCCATTTGCACGTGGTCGATGAGTCGGTCTGTGTTGGCATTACCGCTATGGGACCTATAGAGGCACCCGTAGACGCGGGGATGATCGTCGCCGACTACGCGCAGCCATAGGATGGACAGGTCGGTACCTTCAAGACTGCCAAGGCGTCGAAAACCGATGTTCTCTCTGACGTACACGCAAACTCCATCTCGGGGCACAAAGGAGTGTTCTAATTTGTACCCCGGGTAGGAGAGATACGAAGTATCAGCCGGACAGGACACACGTGTCTCTGTTAGAAAGAGCAAGGCCAGCTTTACCGTCTCCAGATGGTAGTGGACGGCGTTAAGGTTTAAATGAAGTCCCCTGATATTGCAGAAATTCACAGAAAGCGTGGCGACATGGGGAACAATAAGACAAAGACAACCCCTTTGTCTTATTGTTCCGCTTGCCCCGAGCAGGTTTCGTCTTGAGTGGAGTACGCAGGGCAGCCTGAGCACCCAACGTTAACTCTATAAGTCATTTTTTTTTTTCTTGAAGATGGTCTGGTTAGTTCACCTTACCTATTTTAGCCCCCAATAATTAAAAATTAAAAATTTTGTACAGCCGACTTCAATATAAGTTATTTAAGAATAACTCAAAAACTATTGGTCTGACCTTGATCAATTTATATGGGACCACACGAGAACTATCAGCTTCATATAAAAAAAGAATCATCGAAATTGGTTCACCCAGTACAAAGTTATGAGGTAACATACATAAAAAGAAAAAAAAAAGAAAAAATATAGTCGAATTGAGTACCGTCTCCTTTTTGGAAGTCGGCAGAAAAAAAGAATAATGTAGTTCCTTTCAATACGAAAATACCTAAAATATCTCCATAAATTGTGTTGGTAATATATATTAATACCTTGGAGGCTTAAAAGTAATTAAAATTAAGAAGATTGCACTTGACCAAATTTCCACGCCATTTTGGTTTAAAATTTAAGGAAATTGTATAATTTTCACTTCTCTCCGTATTAAATTAAGTTATAATTGCTCTAAATGCTTTACCCGCAGTCTTCATAAGACCATTTTTACTTATTGAATTGGGTGTTCTGCCTTAAGGTTTCATTAATTAAATCGTGAAATTTCTTATATCTTCTAAGTACTCATACTTGCTTTAATAAATATTACCTACATTTATATACACACTCCTGTATATACGGACCCTTAATAGATAAGAACATGTTGCATGTATATATAGAACGTTCAATTTTTGTTCAATCTTGTGACCCAGTTAATAAACCAAAAATATTTTTAACGTTTATATAAACTTTAGTCTGGTTCATGATTTCAACTTAAGTAATAAAAAAAATTGCGTTTGTGGTGGCTTATAAGAGTCCTTCAATCAGCCCATTGCGTTCTATGAAATTGACAAAAGATGACATTCGGGAAGTTAAGAAAGATTTTATGACCTGTGACAAAATGAGGTATATCATCTATCAGTAAAATACTGTAAATCTCACCCACATTGGGGGAAGTCCATTGCTTCCACCGCCACTGCAGTAGACCGTCGCATGTTAATAAAGAGGAAGCAAATAAGACCAAGACACAAGTAATACTGTATGTTGTCTATTGAAAACGTACAGTAATAGTAATTATAGAGCCATGCTCCAGCTATATTAATAGTATAGTTGTAGCACGATTGGGTCGGCTCGACCGGGGAAGGACCACGCTCTCACAGAATACCTGCGTAAAATAGCAGCTTGATGCTGCTGTGTTTCGCATGGTGAGTGTAAAGAACCGGAGACCCATTTTACTGGAAAAGAGGCATTCTATCTTAGTCCTCACGGCTGAAAACGCATCTGCATTTTAATTCGCAAACGAAGATAGATGTAGATGTCTATGGGCCACAGCAACCACTTATCATCAGGTGGACTGTGTACTCGTTTGTCAACCTTATTCTATAAAAAAAATATAGTACGGGATATTGGTATTCTTAATATACGCAGTTAATATCCTTATTTTTTTCTACCCGTACCTATCACAATGCTCATGCTAAATCGAATGTAGGATTGGATGCAGTGTCAGTGACATAAAAAATAATTTTGCATTTTTCACTAAGTAGTGGCTAAGTTTTTGGAACACAATACTCACGATTTAAGTTCCGTGACCACTATGATCGATTATTTAATAAACATTGAAGGTATTTAAGCGGTTAACAGTGTAACATAAACTATTGCGTTTCTTTTATATTACAATACAACTTAATAACTCGGGTAACGCCTTCGTAATAGGAATCTCAGAAAATTACCGACGACGAAATATCATCCCTTAAAGTACAAGTCCGGGACGCGAAAGAAGAACTAGAGGAAATGAGAATAACTGTTCGTGAAAAGAATGAACAAGTGGAGGAATACCGGTTGAAGGTTCTTTATTATGATTGTATTGCAATTAACTTTTCAAATTGAATTTCTACGAATTTAATATTTAATGAATGTAAACTGAACTGAAGGTCCTCCTTACCCAATGTTAAATATTTTTAGTATCTTCAAGCTCAACAACAAGTTGAAGAATTGAGAAGACAGCTAGACTTATGCGAATTCGATAATCAGCAGGTCTCAGATCAGATTCAAATAGAGATACAAAAAATGAAGGTACAATGTCACCTTAATTACATAGACAATTAATAGACAATTTTAGGGCTTTATTTTACAATAAATTAAACAGATTAGAAAATTCACTACTAATTAAATAAAATTAGTAGTGAATTTTCTCAAATGTTTTAGTAATCGATCATTTTTCTATTTAATTCATACGCATTATACAGGGTTATTTTGCAATCACTGGAAAAATTTACAGAGAAGTTTCAGAATAAGTAAAATAGGCAAATGGTAAAGAAAGATTAATTAAAAAATTTCAAACATTCTGTCCTTTTTAATTTTTAAATTCAAAATGCGTGGTTATGAATTAGTTTAACTCATTTTACTGTGCACGCACACATTCGTAACACTCGATCGGTAGGCAAAAACATTGTTGCCCATAAATCACATTCAATTTGGGATAGTTTCGAATTAAAGTAGAAGCCTTGTATTTTTAAAACTGGTATATCATTATTTATTTATTTGAACTTAAGTTTAAAATTTGACTACTCTTTGAAAATAACCCTGTATACTTAGCCTAGAATATTTAAAATAAACACAACGGCGTGTATGATTAAAATATCTAAGTGTTTATTTATCAAATTATCATGTTTTTAGATGCAATTCCAAGAAAAGTTGCAAGAACTGGCCCCATTGCCTGACCTGCTAAAAGGAGCCCAAATCCAACTACAAGAGGCAAAACAAATGCAAAAATTAGCAGAGGATAGTTCACAACAATTGTCGGGTGAATTAAACCGAGTAAAAGAAAAGGTACATAAGTAAAATTTGTAACATTGTAGTTACAATAATAAATCGCTTGTGTTTTTATATAAGGCGAAGAAGGGTCTTGTATTTATGATTATCTAAAATTTGTAAAATCCTTCTTTTGTTTTTCAGTTAGTTCTAGCTATAAATAATTTAAATCAAGAGAAAGCCGATAAATTCAAAATTTTAGAAGACAATGCAGCTCTTAAAATAACTCTTGATAAGAAACATAAGGAAATAGATGGTCTGTCACGGCATATAGATGAGCTAAAGTGGGTATAGTAGATTATTCAAATAAAAAAAAAACAATCCAGTGAACATAAATATTTTTTTGGACCAACATATAAATTTTAATACTTGTTGCAGGTGCAATGTATTGAGGCTTGAAGAAAAATTAATACAGGAAGAAAAAAGACTCGAAGAAAAGGCAGAAGAATACAAAAAAATACAGAAAGAACTAGAAGAAGTAAAAACAGAAAACAGCAGAGCTCTTACGCGATGCAAAGAACGTTCTGAATCAATGCGTCGTTACATGCAGACTCAAATATCTGAATTGGAGCGACAGTTGGTACAGAGTCGAGCTCAGTCTAGAGCGTGCCACAAGGAACGAGATGAGGTACACTAATAAATCTAAGTAACTACTATTTATATGCGCACAATAGTTAATTATGTAATATATGCGTCTGTACATATTTTTAATAATAATAATAATATACAGGATCAAATAGTACCAACTCGTAATTACATAAAATACATCATAAAAGACTCCAATCAGACTACTAACATGTGCAGACATTGCAACAATTCCTCTGAAACCATACAAAATATTACAGGAGCATGTAAATCACTTACACAAACTGATTATAAGCATCGTCATGACCAAGTTGCCGCAATCATACACCAATATTTAGCATATAAATATAAATTCGCAGATAAGATGCAGCCATATTATAAGTATAAACCTGATACAGTATTAGAAAGTAAGAATCAGAAAATCTACTGGGACCGAACAATAATAACAGATAAAACTATTCATTACAATAGACCTGACATTACAGTTCACGACAAAACCAATAAACAGTTTACCTGATAGATATAGCAATACCAAATTCAAAATTGTATAGTAACAACGCAAATGTCTCCTTACGCTTTGTACCTACTAATGCTAATGCGGTAGAAAAAATAGTACGCGACCTAAACAGTAATAAAGCGCCAGGTATTGACGGGATAAGACCTATAGATATAAAAAAATTTGCACATTAGTCAGTGAAGTAATCGCAAATCTCATTAATGCCTGTATAAAAAGTGGAAAGTATCCCCATATTTTAAAAACTGGCATAGTCAGACCTATCCATAAGAAGGGTAGCCATAAGGTGCATGACAATTATAGGCCTATTACTATTTTACCCGTAGTAGATAAAATTGCTGAGAAATACATTTGCAGACAGGTTTATGATTTCTATGCTAAAAATAATATAATAACGGAAAAACAGTATGGCTTTCAACCGCAGAAAAATACCACCCAATTGTTGTCATGGTGCAGAGATTACCTTAATGACAGAAAATATGCGGTAAAAGTGGGGGATGCCATTAGTTAGTATGTTAACTCTTCAGTAGGCATAGCACAAGGCTCTGTAATTGGACCATTGCATTACATCACTTATATTAATAGTCTGGCAAACATCATCAGGCGTTGCGAAATATACCAGTATGCCGGCGATACGTGCCTGGTTGCAGCCGGCGAAAATATTAACGAAACTGGCCGCATTATGCAAGAAGAACTTAATATATTAACACAATGGTCTCATGATAAAGGATTGGTTATTAATGCTAGCAAGACCAAGTTAATGTATATTAGTTCTAGTCATAATAGGAGTAAAGTCATACCTAGCATTATTGTGCATAATCACCTATGCCTTCTCAAAGGATAAATGACATTCAATTGTCATTGTGCAGAATTAGAACCGGTAGAAACTCAAACTTACTTAGGACTTGTAATAAATAGTCGCCTGAACTGGAAACATCATATTGAGGTTGTATGTAATGGACTTCGAAGCATGTTAGCAAAATTCTCCATAATAAAGTATAAAGTCCTCTATAGAATTCTGTTACAATTATATAAATCAGTGGCCGAATCTAAAATTTCATATGGCATGTCTAGTTATGGGCGAACTTACAAATCACATTTAGATAACATTTATTCATTGCAATTACGCATCTTAAAAACTATAGTTCCAGACAAGGTTAAAAACTCACACAGCGATTCTGATTACCATAACCTATTCGATTACTGCAAAATTATACCGGTGCATAAAAAAGTAGAATATACTCTATTAAATGAAGATTTTTTAACGAAGATTTAAAAAAATATGTCATCTCTAATTATTTTAAAACCCGCAGTTCGGCCTAACCAAAATTAGCTAAACCTAATTATAACAATTAATACGGAAAACGTACTTTAGAATACATGGTTCCAAATTTGATTAATCAGTTACCAACCTCTTTTCAAAATGAAATTAATAATAAAAATATGAAATACAAATTAAAAAACTATTATACGAACTGTCTATATCAGACTTCAAACTAAAAAAAAAAACATAAAACTATAATCCCCACTGACTATATTCCCTAAATAAACCTATATGACATATAAACAAAGAATAATTATTATACTCGTCTACTATTAAATATTATCTCCATTATTATCAATATATTTTTATCACCTCCTGTATACGCCACGCAGGAACGACCGGTTTTTGACGCAGCGAAGTGGGCGGTGGCAAGACTCACGTCTTTTAATACACTATTAGTTAATTATGTATTGACGATTTACCGTCTGTTGACTGTGCCAGTTGCTGTTTAATAGTGTTGCGTTATACATATTTTGTAGATTAAGGTGTAGCTTATCTGTCAAATTTTAAGTCGGCGGCTTGTGGTACACGGTAAAGTTTTTAGTAAGCTTATGTTGTACCATAATATATTCTCTGTATTATCTGTAATTTGTTAAATAAATAAATAAATAAAATATAATAATATTCAAACTACAATATCTGAGAAATTAAGCAAATATCAAGAAGTTGCCATAGAAATTAAAACTCAATGGAAAGCACAAAATGTTCACATCATCCCGATAGTTCTCTCATCCACCGGTATTATACCAAAATCACTCACACAAAGCCTTAACACACTACACATGCCTACTATATACACTTCAAATGCTCCAAAAAGCCACCATCTTCAACACCTGTCGCATCACCCGAAAGTTTCTGACTTCTTCTACTTTTTCATCCACTTTCACAATTTAAATTTCCCCTCACACACTTGGTTTCAACCCGTGTGTGCGGTGTTTCAAACTCTTCAAAGAATAGAAGAAATATAAAGAATTGATATAATAATAATAATAATAATAATAATAATAATAAGGAACCACATGGGTTGCAAGGAGCAGCTCATAATTGACTCAACCATTCATAGACTCGAAAATTTAAGGAAGAGGAACTTACATTGCACATTTATTGACTACCGTAAAGCATTTGATAGCGTACCTCATACTTGGCTAATTCAAGTTTTAAACATTTATAAAATAAGCCCTATTTTAATTAATTTTTTGAAAAATATTATATTGCACTGGAAAACCTCTTTACATTTGCACTCCAATAACACTAGTATTAATACGAGGGATATAGCTATCCGGAAAGGAATTTACCAGGGCGACTCTTTGAGCCCATTGTGGTTCTGACTCGCATTAAACCCATTATCACGTTTACTTAATGATCAAAAGACCTACCTTGTAAAACTCCCTAATTCCGAGATAAAGATATCACATCTGATATACATGGATGATATAAAGCTTTACGCCAGTTCATTTAAAGACATGAAAATCTTATTACATATTACAAGTAAATTCAGTAACGACATAAATATGCAGTTTGGATTAAAAAAAATGTAAAATTTTAAATATAAAGAACGAAAAAATAGAACCAGGACCCTACACTTTACCAGAAGGAGGCATTATTTTGTCCATGGAGTCAGATGAGGTATATAAGTACTTAGGATATCAACAATCAAAGCTATTAGATCACATTAGCCTAAAAAACGCATTATTAACAGAATACAAAAATAGAGTAAGCCGAAACTGTAAAACCCAACTAAAATTAAAAAACCTCATTAAAGCTATTAATACTCATGCGATTCCGATATTAACATATTCATCTGGTATAATAAAATGGACAAAAACAAACATAGTTAGCCTCGAAATAAAAACACGTACCATACTAACAAAATTTAATCATTTACATCCCAAGTCCGCAGTGGAAAGAATTTCAATAGCCAGAACTCATGGTGGAAGAGGCCTTATAGACATCCAAGCGCTCTGGACTATGCAGCTCTCAACCCTTAGATCTTTCTTTCATAAAAAAATGACTACCAGTAAATTACACAATGCTATTGTTAGTATAGACGTGAACCTCGCACCACTAAACCTTGCAGAAAAGCCAGAATATAATAGAAATAAACGATCAGCATACAAATAGAGAAGACTTCAAATTAGTACAATGGAAAAAGAAAGTTTTGCATGGCAGACATCCTTATGACTTAGATCAAACACATGTAGATTCGGAGGCATCGAATAGGTGGGTTGTATGTGGTTACTTATTCCCTGAAACCGAAGGCTTCATGATTGCAATCAAGTCATTAATACGAAAAATTATAAAAAACATATAATTAAAGATCCAACAATATCGGATGATAAATGTCGAAAATGTCACAACAGTCCGAGACCATTCAGCATATTATAGGAGCTTGCGCATCACTCACGCAGACAGATTACATACAGAGACACAACCAGATTGTAAATATAATACACCAAAAATTATAAATCAAACACAAACTCATCCCAGACTCACATACACCATATTACAAATACACACCAACGGCCGTACTTAAAAATATAAATTATAAAATGTACTACGACTGTGCTATTCTCACAGACAAAACCATCCATCATAATAGACGGGATATGCCACTCCAAGATAAAATAAATAAAACAGTATATATAATTGATATAGCCGTATCAAATACGCATAATTTAATTAAAACTATAACCGAAAAAAAAATACACAGAACTGAACAAAAATGTGGAAGATGAAAAAAGTTTTTATAATACCCATAGTACTTTCTACCACCGGTATAATCCCGAAGCACTTACATCATAGTTTGAAAATGCTAGATATATCACCGAACTTACATTAATTTACAAAAAGCAGCTATCTTAAATACATGTCGCGTCGTTCGAAAATTCATGCAGGAAGACAGTAATGTAGTTTATCCCCTATTACAATGACGGTTGCTTGGTTTCAACCCATAATCGCCATTTAATTACCAGCTTTCAGCTGAGAAAAAAAATATTTAAAAAAAATAATAATAATGATAATAAGCCCCCTAAAATCCAACCACACGTCCAGATCGACCATCAGATCACGTAGGGGCGGACACACGATGAGAAATTACTGGCGCGACTAACGTGGCCCTTTTTAATAGGTTACATTAAAAATGGAGACCAGATCAAAAAGTAAACTGAGAGGGCCGCTTCCCGGGGGCAATCGCCGGGGCACACCTGGAGCTGACGCTGGGTGTTTCAGTAGACGATCCGTCAGCGGGCTGTTTGGGAGGGAAGCGCCTCATTAGAGCACCGTAAGGCGTTGGTACACAGAATTTGATCGTGACCGTGTTTCCTCCTCCTCCTCCCTATGATGAAATTTATGAAGGAAAACCCACAACAGTGATCACTGAGGAAAATGTAGCTACTGTCAGGCAACTAATTGAAGAAAACCTACATCTCAAAAATCCAACATCGAAAACTTTATTGCCGCTGGGTTCCTCATAAATTCACTCTAGAACATAAATGGGCTCGAGTTGATTAAACGCTGTGTGTATCACCCTGTGACAGGAAATTAACTAACAACAAATATATATATATCTTTCTTTTTCTCTTTTTTTTTTAAAAACGTTACCCCCATACTAGGGTTTTCTCCTGTATCGTGGAGGCAGTTTACAAACACAAATTGCACAAGGACAAATATCCAGACCCGGAACAATTATTTGTAGGCCATAAAAATACTTGTTCCGTGCGGGATTCGAACCCGCCCCCAGCTCATCAAATTTTGCGCCACGGAGCCGTCAAATATATATATATATATATATATATTATTGTTACAAACTGTCTTCTGTGTGTGTGTTCAAAAGCAACAGCAAAACAATAAAATTTAGGCAGGCAAGAAGTGTGGGCAAACGATTATTGCGTTTTTTCGCCTAGACGGGTCGAGCCCGCACTATCCTACTTAACAAACACAGTTAATGCCGAGTGAGACACCACCTTTTGTTTGCCCAGTGTCCTTGAATAAGTTAGGAAATAACGACTAAGAATTCGCAGCCAATGACATGCTCAAACCACCATGAATGCTTCGACACATACAGAGAACAAGTCATTTTTGACTTCTGAAAAGGTGAATCTCATCCCGCAGACTATTTAGACCTCTTTCTTTGTTTTCCCAAAAATCAAATATTTGATTTGAGGTGTGACATGTTCGGAGCTAGAAGATGTGGAAAATCTGAAAAAAGTGCTTAAAGTGTAATGGATACTTTGAAAAGCAATTCTTAAATATATTATTTAAATTATAAATAGCACCCCATGTAGAGTTTTGTAAGCTGTAAAATACTGCTAGTTGATTTTCGATCACGGCAACAGCGTACTCATAACCTGTCTAGATAATATATTTGTGTCAGAAGTAAATTTATATTAATTGAATAAATATATATAATAATATAATATTAACTAGGTTACTCTTATCATGGGGCTAAGCGATCGTCACAATACTCGTAAAACGTTACTGCAACCTGTTTTCCGTCGCACGAAATACTATTGAAAGCCTGTTGAAAGAAGTTTACTAAGACAGTTAATAAAGGACAGTGCGATTTTTTATCGTTAGTGTGATTCAATTTAACAACATCATAATGTTGCAACTTCTTTCAGCGACAATGAAACACATAATTTCGCATTGGTATACCTACTCTTCTTGGAATATATATAAATTATTTGCGTATAAATTGTTACGCCTTAACATGGAAATACAGATTGTTTTTTATAAAATTTTAGAGAAAACCAAGCATTTACGATTTTTTTTTATTATTACAAGTCGCCTAGTTCATTGCTAAATTTATTAAGAAGGTAGCACTAGTCTATTAGAATGAACGGAGCGCCTGATCTTATTACGTCGCAATTCAATTTAGTTACGTTCTTTTGAGCGTGGTAATATTCTTACATAAAAAAGTTTAACATTATCGAATATAGATAAATTTAAAATCACTTAAAATTCATTAAATTGACATTAATTTTAATGCTACGAAATTGCAGATGTAACATTATAATATAATGTAACTTAAGTTTTTTCTTTTAGCGTTGACATATACTTTGCTTCCGTTTTGCTTATATTCTGTCTTCTTTTATTGTGAAAAAGTTGTCGAGTTAAGCTATTTTTCGGTTTTTTATTATAAACGTTTTTGTTTTATGAAATACATTAAAGTTGATCATTTTTACAACTTTTAGCTAGAGGACTAACAGTGCATAAATGCGTAAGAGTTTATTTCACATTTTTGTCATCATTTTTCAAGAATTTCCTCAACAAATTTTAGTTATATCTGACTGTTGCACTTTCAAGGATCTTTTTAGACATTTTAAATGTAAAATTTTATGGAATTACTCAAAAAAAGACTTCCTACTTTTAGCTAATATAAATTTAATAAACTTGGATTTGGACTCATTCCACCACTACTTAGCTAGTTAGCACTTAGGTTCGCAAGTTACTAGCGGTTTCATTCGCATAGAATTTAAATAAATAAGGAGATCTATAATATTAGTCTAGTGATTTGTGCAGTAACTGCACGTGTACTACTATAGAAAAAGTAGCTAGTACTAGACTAGATATTTGGGGGTTACATTTGACGAAACATTTACATGGCATGTACAGATGCAACTAACAACACATTACGAAAACTTATTTAGATCTTCAAAATCTTCAGACATGTCGCAACTCATAAAATTTTAAGCCAAATTATGCTTTAAAATGCATTATCTTATGATGGCCAAAGATAACCAATAACAACTAATGTAAAATTTAAGTTCAAGGTTTGATTTGTTTGGATGCAGATGCACTTTAAGCTGCAATTAATATTGGTGCCGGTGGATCGGACCCTAACTACGAAATTAGAGAGAACGTTCATCCTCTGAGCTACGACGTGCTTGGAGTGTATTTCAAAGTTATTTTTAATATTCATTTTTGTTTAGATTCGGCAGCGAATGCAGATACAAATAAATAATCTGCAGGAAAATTTTGAACTGGTCGAAATAAGATTCCGCGCCCTACAGTCGCAAGTAGCGTCGTTGAAAAACAGTTACTCCGTTATACTCGCTGATGAAGATGATTGCTGTGACGTCAACAAGATTACTACCTGATTCATACACTTGAAATATATTTTTGGTTTATTTATAAATACACTTTAAAAATAATTTGCAGTATTTTATTAAAAAACTAGTTGTGCCGGCACTTTGCGTAGAACTAGGTTTTGTTTTGTTATGACAAGCGATGATTATTTATTTCTACTTTTAACTGTCACAAAAACCTAAAAATACACTACTCTGGATAAAAAACATTCAAATAGTCGGTCAATGAGTCAAACTAACGAATGAGCAAATAAACGTACAAATGGACCAATTAAAATAACGTTAAACATTAAAGATGTTAACATTATTTAGCTAAGATACAAGAAAGGAGAATTCTCCTGATGATGTCTCGGTTATTATTGTATTAGGTTAGTATTATATTTTTGACGGTGGTGTGTGCTTCTCACGTTAGTGGTGTTGAAAGTAGACGGAGAGAGGTGCTCTTCAAATTATGTTAGGCATATATTTCTTATTTTTTTACGCGGTTCTTATGTAAATAATAACGGCTTTAATATGGATTATCGCAAAGTAACGTTTGATTCTATTAATTATCATTACGAGAATTACAATCTGAATCTGAAACAATTTCAGAGTAATTTGAAATTACGTACTTTATCAATTCCCTCAGCATGTTTGTGTGACCACGGTTTGTTTAATAGTATAATATATATATATATATATATATATATATATATACATATATATATATATATATATATATATATATATATATATATTTATTAAATAAATTAATAAATTTATTTCACTTTGTATATATGCGGGGCATCTTAAACTATTACAGTCTCGTTGTTTTTTGGCAACTTACTAGTAAGATATGGTTGATCGTTAGTAGCTGTACTATTTTTATGGTAAAAAACTGTACTACAGACGCAAGCGCGTTCCACCGGACATTATAAGAAACAATTTGAGAAATGCCCTGTTTAGTACTACATAATATTGAAATCGCTACATGTGAAGACATTACTTAAGAGCAAGTATAAAAGTGAGGCATGGAATTGCGAGTGTACACGTAGAAGCTAGTAAATGTGTGTGCGTGCGCGCGCGCGCGCGTGTGTGTGTGTGTGTGTTTATGTGTGAGAGAGAGAGAGTATTAATGTGTGCATAAGCCCTGCCCTGATTGGTTGTGCCAAAGACAGCAATCTTCACTAAGTGTGTGATGAGTACGACTTTAGCATAAGATGTTGGTTTAGTTAGCTGTATAGGGGGATCGTAAAACCGCCTCTGTATCCTCGTATGAAAGCCTCTGCAGCCACTGCTTCAGTTCCTGTCTAACCTTTCTTGCGGTAGCTTTATAGATATTAAGTTCTTTATTAATCCTATTATACACATGACTACTTCGGACATAGTATTGTCTACGAGCTAAAGCGTTTCTGTGGGGGACGTGTTCACATACCCGGTATTCCAGTCTTCGACTTACTTTCTTTGCGCGCTGTTCCAGTGGGAGCGAGCGATGTCTACGAAGTATAATTTGAAATATGTAGAGTTGCCTGGTTGTAAGCACCTCACAGTCTTTATATAGTTGGGTAGTAGGGTAACGGTAATGTTTTTTAGTCATAACCTTTAACGCCGCTCGCTGTGCTCGCTCTAGTTTTAGAAAATGAGTGGGGGACGCCCCACCCCAGGAAGGGATGCAATAGGTCAGAATTGACTGGGCCAGCGCGGCATAGACCAATTTCAAGGTTTCTGAGTCCGCCGCATTCCTCAATTTTTTAAAAACTGGAATAATTTTTTGAACCCGGGATGCCATGTTATCTATTTGAGGTGACCAAGTAAGGGTACTATCGAGTATAATTCCCAGATATTTTATATTATCCGTCTGTTCTATTGCCATGCATGCACAGTTTGCATTAATCGTATCGCAGTGGTGTATTTTGATGTAGTAGCGATCAGTTTTGGGTTGTGATGTAATATACTTGGTCTTGTCAATGTTTAAGGTCAGCAGATTGTCACAGAGCCGGTTTGATACAACACGCAGGTCCACCTCCATTCGCCTTCGAGCAGTCTCCTAGGTTTTGTCGTGCGCCAAAAGAACAGTGTCATCTGCGTACGTGATGATGCAACAGTTCGGAATAGTCAACCGACAGAGACTGTTTATGTATACCAGAAACAATGTCGGTATTACTACACTGCCCTGAGGGACTCCATAGGAGAGATATTTATCATCACTAATAAAAGAATCTATATTGACACATTGACTGCGTTCTGAGGGATGTCCAAAGCCAAACCTCTTATGCCAATTTAACTTAACTTTTGAAGTAAGATGGGGATACAAACAGTGTCAAAGGCCTTGGATAGGTCAAGGAAGGTTCATTAATGTAATAAGTAAGATTAAGCTACCGTATAGTCATCATCATCATCATCATTACAGCCTTTCATAAGTCCACTGCTGTACATAGGCCTCCCCCAAGGAATGCCACAAAGCACAGTCCTGAGCCACCTGCATCCATCGACTTCCTGCATGTCTTACCAGGTCGTCACTCCATCTCGTGGGGGGTCGCCCTACACTTCTCCTACCGGTACGAGGCTGCCACTCAAGAACCTTTCTTCCCCACCGGTTGTCGGTTTATCGAGCTATATGGCCGGCCCACTCCCACTTCAGCTTACTAATCCGTTGGGCTATGTCGGTTACTCTGGTTCTACTGCGGATATCCTGATTTCTTTATCACGCAGAGAAACCCCGAGCATAGCCCTTTCCATAGCTCGCTGAGCGATCTTGAGCTTCCTCATACGGCCAGCAGTGAAGGACCACGTCTCAGATCCGTAAGTTATCACTGGCAACACGCACTGGTTGTACAATTTCGTTTTAAGGTTTTGAGGTATCTCTGACGAGAAGATGTGTCGTAGCTTCCCGAATGCTGCCCAGCCGAGTTGAATCCGTCGATTGATCTCTCGGTCGAAGTTGGACTTACCTAGTCGGACTATTTGTCCCGATTAAACATACTCGTCAACAACTTCGAGCTTAGTGCTCCCAACAACTACCGGCATGGGTGTGACATGGACATTAAACATGAGCTTTGTTTTGTCCATGTTCATTCTAACCTATTCGTAGGGAGACACTATTGAGGTCATTGAGCGTGGTGCTTAGGTCCTCCGGCGATTCTGCTATAAGAACTATATCGTCGGCAAATCGAAGGTGAGTGATGTACTCGCCATTGATGTTGATACCGTATCCTTTCCAGTCCAGAAGCTTGAAAACGTCTTCCAATGCAGCGGTAAAGAGTTTCGGCGATATGACGTCACCCTGTCTTACACCTCTCTGCAATTGGATAGGTTTCGTACTCTGGTTCTGTACTCGGATAGCCATCGTAGCACTACTGTACAAGCACTTCAACACTTCGATATACCGACAGTCAACTTGGCATCGCTGAAGGGACTGCAGCACCGCCCAAATTTCGACGGAATCAAAGACTTTCTCATAGTCCATATACGCCAGACATAGTGGCAAATTGTACTCCTCTGACTTCTGTACAATTTGCCGAAGGGTATGTATGTGGTCTATGGTGCTAAAGCCCTTTCGGAAACCGGCTTGTTCAGGAGGCTGGAAGTCGTCATGTCTGCGCGCGAGACGATTCTTAATGACTCTCGAAAACAGCACGTAGACGCGGCTCAGAAGGGAAATCGGTATGTAGTTCGTCAAAAGAGCGTTGTCACCTTTTTTGAAGAACAAGACCAGCGCATTTCTGCTCCACGCCTCCGGTGTAACGCCACCATGGAGGATGGAATTAAAGAGCTTCTGAAGGACTTCAAGTACCGGTCTTCCACCCGCTTTCAGAAGCTCCGCTGTAATTCCATCCTCGCCTGGGGCCTTGCCGTTTTTAAGGTGCTGGAGAGCCATTCTAATCTCGTTCATACTGACGTCCGGGATATCTTCGGAATAGTGTCGGATAAGACTCGCTCTTGGATCGTTACTCAAACTTGCGTGTGGCTCTTACGATGACGTGTACAGCTGCCCATAGAACCTCTCAATTTCATTCAAAATCTTAGGTGCCCCAGAAACGATGCTGCCACACTCGGTGTTCAGCTTTGATAGTTGGCTCTTTCTGGCAGACATATCTCTGGCAAAGACTTTGGAGCCTTGGTTCCACTCGATCGCTTCTTCAAACAAGCTATATTGAAGTTGCTTAAGTCCCGCCGCATGCATTTGGAGATCTGTCTGTTCAGTTGCCTGTATGCTGTCAAATCTGTTGAAGAATGTAGCTTCATCTCCCGTCTAACAACCATGAGATTGAGAGTGTGATCGGAGAGATTTTGTGTTCGTCTGCGGCGAGTCTTGCAGAACTTAGCTCCGACCGCATGGACAGTTTCCACGAGCTTGTCATTCATATCGTCCACTTCATTGCAGTCTTCTAGGCACTGAAAACGGTTTCGTAGCTCGAGCTGAAAGGTTTCGGGACTTTGGACTTCATTAGACGTGACCTCTCCAACTTAACGTTTAGGTTCAGTGTACCTCTCACCATTCGGTGATTGCTGCCGGTTTTCACCCTCGCGATCACTGAGACATCACTCAACAGTTGTCATCTGGTTGCAATAAGGAAGTCAATCTCATTTTTTGTCGAACCGTCGGGGCTCGACCAGGTCCACTTCCTGTGGGGCCGCTTCCGGAAGAAAGAGTTCATCATAAAGAGTCCATTTTTCTCCATGAAGTCGGCCAGCTGCTGGCCCCTTGGGTTCCGTTGCCCTATTCCGATATTCCCTACTTTCTACTGCCTAGTTTTGCGTTGAAGTCTCCCATTAACACCGTATAGTGGGTTTTGCAGGAATGCATGGCTCTAGAGATATCCTCGTACATTTCCTCCACCTCCTCATCGGGGTGTGCCGAGTTTGGTGCGTAAACCTGTATGACCTTCAGCGAATACCGTTTGGTGATTCTGAGTATAAGGTACGCAATCCTCGTCGACACACTCCCGATCTTTACAACGTTGTTAACAAGAGACTTGTGGACGATAAATCCGACACCTTCTTGGGACAGATGGTCGCCTTCCCGGTGATAG